CCATAAGTCGTGCCATCTGATTGCTCCATAGCGAAACTGCTTAAATGATATCAAAATCATATTCTTTCATACTGCCGAATTGTCGAAATGTGGTTGTAATTTATCATGGCTTATTTTATATGATTTCTTTTTCTCTTTTTTCTTTTTCCCCCAAAAGAATCTCTGTTACAAATGGGGAACAAAGTTGACACCATCAGACATTGCCGACAAAGTGAAACATTTCTTCAAGTACTATTCCATCAATAGACATAAGATGACCGTCCTAACACCTTCCTATCATGCAGAGGTACCAACTCCATCGGCATAACATTAATTTTTTTCATATGTTTTATTTTTCCACTTAATTTTGCTTCCACAAACGCGCATATATGAGTTTCATTAGCATGGTACAGAGTATTTATTAAACCTGAAATGCCTCTGCAGAGTTACTCACCAGAGGATAACAGGTTTGATCTACGCCAATTTCTGTACAACTCGAGGTGGCCTTATCAGTTTCGAAAGATTGATGAACTTGTGCACGATTTGGATGGTGATAGTGTGTCCATCGCAAAATCTAGTGACGTGGCCACGCCTGACGGTGGCATGGGTGTAATAGCTGCGGGTGCAGGCAACCCAAGTGCCGGTTTTTAAGTTTTTGGCGTAAACTTTCAGATATAGCAGTGGTTAGTGGCTGTGGTTTTTTAGTATACGAACCGTCTGTTCGTGAAGACCTTAGCTTTCTTTTCATTTCCACCTGTCAATGTCGGCATAATACTGTTCAATAAATAAATAAATAAATAATCTTTCCAGATTGTATAAAATATGATTGTATTTCAATGGTGTGGGAGTTCGATGAGATGAACTGAAATCTCACCTTATTTCTCTTTTCCCCTAAATATGTACAGAGACAGAATAAACACATTGTTTCATTTACTAATTAGCGTCTTTTCTGCACGGTAAGATATTTTTCAGCCTTTACATGCGGCTATGGGAAGGATAGCATGAGACTGAATGTCATATTTGTAGTTGAGAATAATTTGATCCTAAGACAGAAAAAGATTATGTGACAGAAATATTGACAAACTGAAGACATTTTGGGCTTGCATAAGTAAACAAGCATGGATGATTGTTCATATTACGTTTTACTGCATTTCAAATCGATGGTTGCTCGTGATTCGACTTTGAGCAGTTTGAATGGACGATCGTTCATGTTTTGTCTTAAGCATTTCGAGTAAATGATTGTTCGTGTTTTGCCTTAGAGGATTATTGTTTTTTGGTTCACATCAGCGTCGTTGAATCCACAGATTCCCAAGTCCAGTTCCATCTTGTCGAGAAGGTAATTCTGTTGTCATTGAGTCCTCAAACTCCCAAGTTCAGTTCCATTTTTGTTAACAAGGTAAAATTCTATTTCATTGCAGTGGGATAGGATAGTTTTATATGGGCTTTTCTGGATTTTTTTAATTTTAATTTTGAATACTTCTGAGTTCTGAATGATGGAATTTACAATATTGGCAAGAAGTTGCAGCAAAACTGTAGGTGTGATTTTGGGTATTTGATATTGGGAATTTAAGTAGGAGTACCATTGAGTCAATTTTTGCTTTATTAGATTTTATGGGCTTTATTTGATATTGGAAATTGTCTTAATATTTACTACATCTTTTTCTCTTTCAGCTATGTATAATGTGAATAGACTTTTTTGTCGTGTGAAATTTTGTGTTTTCTCTAAAGTTTCTCGACTTTCGGGTGCTTTTATAAGAGTCTTTTATAGATTTATGTGACATATTTTTCAATGTGAATATATTTAGGATTTTTACCAGTATGTACTCTACAGGAATATGATGAAAATTTCAACGAAAACGTATTCCAATAGAAGAAGTCCAATGACAATTCTAATAGATATTTCAATATTATTATTTTCTTAGAACTTTTCAATGGATTCCAACGAAAATATTCTCTTGGAATGAGTTTTTCAGTGAAATATTTGTTGGACCGACAATTCCAACAGTAGAAATATATATGGAAATAAGAATTCCAAGAAAATTGCATATTTCAACGGAAATTCGTACGATTATAAACCGTTTGAATCATTAAATTCCAACTCAAAATTCAAATGGAAAGTTATACCATTAAAATATCTGCTAAAATTTTCATTAGAATATATTACATAATCTGACAATTTTTTTGGCAGTGGTGGATTTTGCAATGCACTAAAATTTTCATTAGAATATATTACATAATCTGACAATTTTTTTGGCAGTGGTGGATTTTGCAATGCACGAGACAACAATGATAAATTATATATAATAAAGCAATGAAATAATATTGATTAACATAAAATAGTTTTGAATATTAACAATAATTTTTATTTGTTTTATTCTAATGATATAAAATTGTTTAATATATGATTTATATGCTTATTTCATCCGTATTAAATAGTTGTCATTTTAGAGTTCATATTTAGGACTAAAAAACATGAAAATTTAACATGTTTAAAAAATTATCAGTAATTAATACTCATCTCTCTCTCTCTCTCTCTCATTCGCTTCCCTTATTTTTTCTTTACTACAATATATTATTTTGATTCCTAAATAGGTGATAGTAAAGGTGAAAATTGCAGCAAATATTATTAAGTGACACTTAATTTAAAAAGAATATAACTTATACTTTTTAAATTTATAACATTACCAATTTCTAATTACATCAAAATTACTTTGATATTTTTTATAACTTATAATAATGTAAAAATATTCATTTGTTTTCTCTAATCTATTAATTTATATGACGGTTCGGCAGTGATTGGTTTATCATTATAATTTATAACAATACACATTATAAAAATTTTAATTTGTTTTTATGATAATAATTACAACGTTGTTCAACAGATGACTTGTTGGTATGTTACTGCAATTTATAAAATTATATGTTATAAAAATTTTATAAGTTAATAATTTAAATGGATAGTTCAACAGATTATCCGTTAGTTTGTCATAATTTGTAATAGTACGTGTTATAAATATTTTGATTTTTCTTCTAAACTTATAATTTACATGGCAATTTGATAGATGACTCATTTGTTTATGATAATATACATCAATACACATTATAAATATTTTATTTTTTAAAAATAATACACATTATAATTTTTTTTTTAAAAAAATAATTATTTAAATAGAAGTTTGACAAATGATCTGTTGATTCATCATTTTAATATCACATGTATTTGGTCCTCGAAATAATTGTTCGCTACATGTTTATATTATTTTAATTTTAAACCCATGAGACATACAATTATTATTTTACATTATTGCATACTAAATATATTTTATTGTACATACAATTATACTTCATTGTATGAATAATTTAAGACTAGTTCATTTTAATCAGTGTAAAATAAGAAGTTTAAGTTCATTTTATATATGAAATGTTAATTAATATATTTATTAATATATAAAATAATATTATTTTATTTTTACATACAATATGAGTGTCAAATCAAAGAGTCTAAAATGAATGTTAATTTAATATTATAGAAATAAGAATATTTTGAGTTTTTGAAAAATAAAACGACATTAATACTTAATAAGAAATATGGAGAAGAAAAAATAGTAGACAACAATATGAGAACTAAATAGGAAAAATTCATAGTTGGAACATTTTTCATCTGCGTTTCAGGATTTTTTTTTTTTTTTTTTTCATTTTATTTTTCTACCTTTCAAATAATTATCCTTAGATTGATTAATCTATAACCATAGCTGTTAATTTATATTTCAAATAAAATTCTATATTAGGTAGAATATGAACGAATAATTATTTCTAAATTTTTGAAGAATGTAATCATAAATTATTGATATCACATTACTAAAGGTAAAAATAAAATATATTAGCTAGAAATAAAATAATTGATTGATTTTTTTTTTTGAACAGTTTTTATAGATTTAGATCAATTACTTATATCATATTACCTAAAATAAAAATAAATGTTGCACACGAATGACAATGAAAAAATTATAAGAAGAAAAAAAAAAATCATCATCACTTAATTAATGAATTAATAAGATTGAACACCGATCAAAAAAATAAAAAAAAAAAATATAAAAAAAAAAATGATAAGGTTGAGCAAAACACTAGCTCAATTGGGATAAACTAAGAAATTAATCACTTATATCATCATCATTGTACAGTTGTACTCATATCTCAAATGAATTGTAACACTGAATAGCGACATATAAATCAAGACATTATAATCGGAACAAAGTATTTCAGGACAATGAACTTTAGAGTAATGTTGTCCTACTCACGGTGGGACACATGTTAATATGTCAACCATTTATGTGACATGTACACATTGATAATGTATTTTTTTGAATATATTAACATCACCAATATGTGCATGCCACATAAAGCGGTGGACATATTAACATGTGCCCACCGTGGATAAGAGTCATTCGGGTGCTTTTATAAGAGTATTTTATAGTTTTATGAGACATATTTTTCAATGTGAATATATTAGGATTTTTAGCAGTATGTACTCTACAGTAATATGACAAAAATTTCAATGAAAATGTATTTCAATAGAAGAAGTCTAATGACAATTCTAATAGATATTCCAATATTATTATTTTCTTAGAACTTTTCAGTGGATTTCAACGAAAATATTTTGTTGGAATGAGTTTTTCATTGAAATATTTGTTGGATTGACAATTCTAACAGTAGAAATATAATTGAAAATAAAAATTTCAAGAAAATTGCATATTTTAACGGAAATTCGTACGATTATAAATTTATAATCCCTTTGAATCATTAAATTCCAACTCAAAAATCAAATGGAAAACTCATTCTAACGGATGTTTTCGTTAGAATTATTCCAACGAAAGCTATAACATTAAAATATCTGCTAAAATTTTCATTAGAATATGTTACATAATCTGACAATTTTTTTGGCAGTGGTGGATTTTGCAACGAGACAACAATGATAAATTATATAAAATAAAGCAATGAAATAATACTGATTAACATAAAAATAGTTTTGAATATAACATTATTTTTTGTTTATTTTTTTATTCTAATGATATGAAATTGTTTATTATATGATTTATATGCTTATTTCACCTATTATAAAATAGTTGTCATTTTAGAGTTCCTATTTAGGATTAAAAAAATGAAAATTTAACGTGTTAAAAAATTCTCTCTCTCTCTCTCTCACACACATACACACACATTCACTTCTTTTATTCTTACTCTATTACAATGTAGTATTTTGATTCCTAAATAGGTCATTAGTAAAGTTGAAAAATTGGAGCAAATATTATTGACACTTAATTTAAAAAGAATATAACATATACTTTTTAAAAACATATCTTTCCGTGGCCCCAGTACTAAGTATGCTATGGTTCGGTTTTTAAATTTATAACATTACAAATTTTTAATTACATCAAAATTATTTTGATATTTTTTATAACTTATAATAATGTAAAAGTATTCTATTTTTTTTCTCTAATCTATTAATTCATACGCGACATTGGTTGATTTATCATTATAATTTATAACAATACACATTATAAATATTTTGATTTATTTTTTATGATAACAATTACAACGTTGTTCAACAAAAATGACTTATTGATCTGTTATCGTAATTTATACTAATATAT